CACGAGTTAAGAGGCTTGCCATTTGGCGGCGCGCCCTCGGGGGTAGTTCTCTCAGCCCCGACGGCCCGCGTCGAACTAGATGCCAGGAAGTAAGCAGCCCGTCTGGTCGAGGCGGGCCTGGCCCCAACCTCGACCTCTGACAGGGCGGACATTTGCCAGCGAGGGCACGCGGATGACACCCTGGGAGCGAGTCGCGCCGTTTGTACCAAATGTGTTTATCATTACGCATCCCAGGCATACAGTACAAGCTCTCACCCGCCTCTGATTCAGACATCCCCGGTCATCCGTGCATCTGGTTGGATTAGGAAATATGCCCGTTATCTATTGGTTTGTGGACATTACTGAAGAACGAATATCTTCGTCGGCTTCCCGATGACAGTCGGGCACCACGCCCGCAAGAATGCCCCGCCAGACCTTGACAGCCCCCAAGGGTCTTCAACCACATCGCATCTTTGTTCACTGGCAGGCTGGCACGAGCACTGCTACTGAACCTCCTTGTCCTAACCACATTGGCCTGGATCCTGGAACTATCATTGGACATGCACGTCATAGGTAATCCTGGCGGCATCCTCGCTGCTGGCGGTTCGCACGATTCCAGGGTCTGCTGCCACCCAGAGGGTTCGAGCGATCTTGAGGGGTCGGCGCCGGCGCCGCCCGCGGGACCCCCAGGCGGGGGAGAAGAAGAAGAAGAAGAAGAAGAACCCCCACACAAAAAAGAACGCGGTCCACAGCCACGAGCTCGATCGAGCGGGAACGGCCAGATGAAAGGCAGCAGGCGCGGCGCGTCGTGCGAGGGCGATGGGAACCGCTACCACGACCGAGCCAGGGATCACGATCGTCGCGGCAGCCCTCGTCGACCCAGCCCAGATCGCCGAGGCGGCCGCGACAACCGCGAGGATCGGGGCCGTGACCGACGCGCGTTTCGAGGAGTGCGTGAAGTCCATGACTCCCGTGATGTTCGTGACTACCGCGACGCGCGAGATGCGCGGTCTCGGGATCGGGGCGACCGCAGACGCGACTAACCTTGTCGTTCACGATCAGCCCCTCGGGAGCGCAGGGACATCTAGCGCCCGAGGAACGAGCTGGCCAAACGAGACTCCGAGCACAGAGCGCACGACAAGGACAAGAAGGACAGGATGGAGGAGATGGGCTTGCGAAAGCAAGGTGAGCACGCGGCCGAGGCGATGAGATCGCGCGTCGGAGGCAAGATGTCGAAGTCCACCGATGGCAAGGCGCACCCCACGACCACGGGCTCAAAGCCAGAGCGCGATCGCGAAGCGAGCCCTGCTCCAGCGGCAGTCCCACTCGATGGCTCGGCGCTACTCAAGGGGGCGGGGCTGGTTGGATCCAGTCCACAGGGGGGCATAAGGGGAAAGTGCCGAACCGTCTTTCGCGGGATGGAGCCCCCAGCCCCTTGAGAGGCGGGGCTGCGACAAGCAGGTCGCAGGGATGGTGGAGACATGAATTTGAGCGCGTCCCCCCAAGAAGAGGACCCCCGCGTTCAAGGCGAAGCGCATGCAGATGGTGCTCGTGATTGTCAATGCCAGTACAGTCTGATCAGATGCCACGCAGCCATGGCAACACCACCTGATGATTGGGACGAGTTTGACAGACTTTACGAGCTTGCTTGAGAAAACTAAGTACCGCATCCAACATCAGATGCCTAGTGCGGTTCCTGTGCGCTTGTGCGTCGGGGCTCGTGCTTCCCACTAACAACCGGAGTGCGGTGCAGGTGGCCAGGGCATACGTCGCGCTGCAGTGGACCCGCGCGAGGACAGCAGGTTGCCTCAAGCAAATTGGCTCGGCAGTTCGACTGCCCCCTGCATTCGCAGGTGGACAGGCCTACTTGGAGCCTCGGTTCCCGTTCGGATGGGATGCGCCTCGGGGGTGAACTCACGCTCTCGTTTGTCCGCGGTTGCCCTGAGCACCAGGAAGTTCCAGTGGCCCAAGAGGAAAGCCCTCCTGATGCATGAAGAACAAGAATGGGATAGACAAGTCACGCGACCGCCCCGAATCCAGTTCTGATCCAGGGATGGTTGCTGTTCCTCGGTCTCGGGTTTGGTTCCATTTTCTCATGGTCTGGTTCCCTCCACCGCGATTCGATCATTGGCTCCCCAGGTTTATGTTAGTTTTCTGTTTCCCCCCCCCCCCCCCCCCCCACGTTTCTCGAGTGCTTGAGATGTTTGGTGAATGCCGTCCGGACGCCCGTGGGTACCTGACAGACCCAGATTGGCAGTGTGTGCTGTCTAGGACTTCGCCTGTTCCGTCCCGATCCTTCTTGTAACCTTTTTAGCTGATGATATGAAGATGCCCCCCCCCCCACCCCGCGCCCGACCTGATCGGAGCCGTGGCGCTGGGCTTGGACAGCCACGTAGTGCCGAGCCTCTAGTTGGCGTTCAAAGACTTTGGGATATCTCTCTTTATGTCCCACCTCCCACCCTGATTGTCACTTCTCCGTCTGCTGTTGTTGCTGTCATCGTCTTCGCACGTGTGTGCCTGCAGCCGAGTTGGAGCAAGCTTTGTACCCAGACCGCGCCCGCAGCACAGGACCTGACGGCGTTTTCGCTACTCGTATATTTGAACCCCTGACGGCTAGCGAGAAACACGTTATGATCGGACCTGATTGGGTATTTGGTTGGTTCTCTGATTTCGCAGTGGGGAACCCTCTCTCTCGCTCTTTCTCTCGCTCGCTGTCTCTCTGTCTCTCTCTCTCTCTCTCTCTCGTTCTCTCTCTCTCTCTCTCTCTGTCTCTCCCTCTGGGGGGGGGGGGGGGGCGGAGTTCGCTGAGCGTCCACCGATCTGTCCAAAAGCGTCTCTCCAGGTGTGCCCACCCTCAACCCCAGGTGGAAGACACGACCCACCCAGCATGAACAGGCCCAGGCTCAGGGGGAGAGGAGGAGGGGGAGGAGGAGGAGGAGGAGGAGGAGGAGGAGGAGAGGGAGGACGAGAAGGAGGAGGAGGAGGAGGAGGAGGAGGA